CATTCACTTATTCATTCACTCACTCATTCATTCCTTATTCATTCATTCATTCGTTCATTCATTCATGATTTCGCTTGTTCGCACGTGTTCACGGCTTTGTTTACCGACCGACAGTTAGTCAAAATGGTAGATACAGGGACCTTCGTGAAGTCTTTTATGTAATCGAGCCATCCGGTCATTGGTCTGTTTCTGTACTGTCTTCCTCGAGGTTTGGTCAAAATGTGCGCATTACGAATTTCTCCTGTGGCATCTTCACCCCATGTCCAAACTGCCGCAATCGTAATATCATGACAGGCTATTGCGAACCTTCGCTCGTCACATGCAAAGGCAATCATTAGGAGAAACCTGATTTCTGCCGCCCGCCTGTATTCCATATCGCAAACTCTGGGTCAGTGTCCGTAAGTACTGATGACCTTTGGTAAGGGTAGGAGATTTGCAGGCTTGGGGACTGACAGATTCGCGCTACTACTCAACTTTTTTCATCGATATGGACCTCATTAGCTCCACATTGCGGGTGTTCTTTCAATGTTATTGATGCTAATAAACGATATGTCCTTATAACGTTACTGATATTGATATGATTGATTTCCAAAACACCCGTCGAATGCCTATGATACCTATCCGTGAGTAGGAGGATTGATCATCTGCCTACTTTCATTTGAATGTTTAAATTAGAAAAGACCTGGACCTGTAGCGAAATCTGAAGACCTGATGAAAAGCAGCAAAATATTGTTCTGGCCAATTCTGGAAAAAGACTTAGGCTTTGCTTTTCTTTGAATGCGCTGGCGTTTGTCAAGCGACCCGTGGCTGAAGATTTACTTTAAATTATCATCCGATGAAAATTCAAATAATACGCAAGCTTTTTTGCTAATTATGAATTATACGTATAATTGACACATATGACAAAAACTGTATTTGATGTAACGCCCTTCTCAGTTTTAATTGCGTTCAATTATATTTCTCTATTTTGGTGAAAAACCGTGCACAAACGTTGTCTCAGTACACAACGCAATGTAGTGATTCCCCAGGTGATAGAGTGACACTTGCATTTAAACCGTATCTCAAGAGTCTTCTTCAAGATATAATGACTGGCTGTAATTATCAACGCTTTTGTATGCATAGCCGATCGTATCGAGCCGCAAGTAAAGTTTGCTTTGTTTCGATCTGTTGTGCGTTCGATGCTAGCGCTACAGTCAATTACCTTATAAGGTGAAGCAGTAGCCCCAATATGACTCTGAAAGCCTACAGTGAAAGCATGAGTTATGCTTTGTAATATCAGCCTACTGATATGTTTTGCCCACGAGAAAATCTGTTTCTCCCGGGTCTTATTTAGGCTAGAAGTTCTCATTTGTACAAATTTCCTTCATTCATTTCTAACCACCATCCAGACCTGCAATTTCATTGGAATTTTGTATTATTTTATAATATCAGCATTTATAATACGCGTTATTTATGTATAAACTAATTGCGTATATATAAACCGAAAACCTGGGAACACGAACGTAAAATAATTATGATTTTTCCAATCCGATCAGCACCATGACCTCTCAGAGATCATGCATATGTTCGTTATACACAACCTGGCCATAACACCCAAATTTTATCGAAGTTTCATGGCCTTATTTGTGTCAATAGGAGCAGCTACCAGCTTGTTAGTGCCATAAGAAGCATCACTCAAGCAAAAAGTTGGACAGCAAAGAAGAAACTTAACCATGAGCCACTCAAAAAGGCAGCTAATGGCTAGTAGAGCCCAACTGAAGGCCGAAAGCAAAATAAATAAAGTGCACAAAAACACTTCCCCTAATGAGGAAAGACGATCCCAAAGACCTCAAGAACTATCGACCAATTGCCCTCATGTCGCTAACCTACGAGATCTTTATTCGCACTATTCTCAATTGTCC